CCCCAAAACCCCAAAACCCCAAAACCCCAAAACCCCATTTTTTCTGTCAAGAATTGAAATATAAAGAAAATGATGACTAACTCAGGCCTAAAAAGACCTTGCTCTCTTTCTTTTAGAGATAACTTCATCCTGAGAAAGAAGAGGTTGATGTGTTGAGGAAGGCAAATCCTTGCCTTTTGCAACTTGTGTCTGCTTTTTCGCTAGTTTTGGTTCTTCAATCTTCATCTCTGCATCTTTGGAGTCCTCCTCTTCATCCTTGGTCTCTTGTATTGTTTCTTGAGGTTTGAAGTTATTTTTGAAACTAACAAATGCTGAATTCTGGGTGTGGTTCAAGCGCACATATTTATTCTTGACAGGTCCATCAATAGTCATTGCTCTCTTTCTTCCAGTCTGTTGTCTAATATTGCAGAGACTATCGACCCTATTCCTTCCAACAAGCTGAGGATTCAAACTTGCTTGGATCAGATTATCTAGCGAGGAGTTTTCAAGAGCTACATTTCTCAAGGAAAGTTCAGCATTTTGAACTTTGTCAAGCTTTTCCTTCATCTTAATGATCTCTTTACAAATATTATTATAAAGTTCTTGGTTAAAATATGCACTGGTGTTGTTAGAGGTCTGGCCTAGCTGCAGCTGCCCAGCTGAGCCAGTCAAATTACCAAGTAGTCCTTGTTTCTGTGCACTGAGTAGATTAGCTCTGTACGCTTTGAATTCTTGCAAGATATCATTTCATCTTTGCTCTAAAATAGTTAGAATAATCTTGAAATTATTTCAGATTTGAAGAAAGTGTGAGATGCCAAAATTTCAGAATCTCTCAAGAGCAGAGCATATTTTCAAGAATTTACCTGTAGCAATCTGATTCAAAGGAGGCAGATTATTCTTAGGTAACACTCTCTGAACATGCTCATAGAAATTCCTGATCTGTAGGATGTCCTGGTAGTGAGGGTTTTGAGAAGGAATCTGAGGCTTTTCCTTCTCAACTTCTTTTCTCTGATCAAGTAACTGTTTTACTGAGTTTGCAAACTCATTGTCATTGAATCCTTCTGTTTGAGTAGAAGGAGGTTTAACCTCCTTCTCCTCTTCTTTAGCCTCTGGAGAAGGCTGAATGAGATCCTTGGCTTCATGAGAAATATGAGAAGCATTACTGTTATCTTCATCGCTGTCATTCTTATTCTTCATTCAAATAGTCTCCTCCAGAAATTCTGGTGAGTTGTTTTTGAAAATCAAAAAGGCATCTTGGTCAGGATACTCTTTCTGAATCTTAAGGAAGTATTTCTGGGCGTGGCTTCTAATCTGTGCGCCTGACCTAGTCTTGATATAATCCTCGACTTTCTTCCATTGCTTTCCATACTTCTTGAGTGCTTCTACAAATTTTCTATGTTCTTCTGCTGTCCATCTTCCACTAGTCTTTCCTCCTTCTATAAAGTTAGTGTGGAGTCCCTACCGTGGGTTTTCTCTGAATTCTGCATATAGCTAGTGTTGATAGCTTCTATATGCTTCCTTGGATCCTTCCTTTCTCTTGTGCCAGGCTGCCTGCTTCTGGTCGAGTATGTTTTCCCAGAAGTCTCTATATGAAAATTAGCATGTGAAAGATATGTTTTATAGTAGAGAAGTATCTAAGTTTGTACAGAGAGTATGTAGTTGACTTGTGACTTTTTATAGAATAGAATTAGAGGTTTTAGTTAAGTATGCTAGATATCTTCCTACAAATGCAGACATAAGGATATTAGAAAGAGATCTGGCATCTAGAAATTATTGTACAAGAAATTGGGACTAATCAGCCGCATAGATTGGTAGGGTACCCTAAATAATGCTCTAAGGATAGAGGAGGTATAAAAAGCTAATAATATCAGTTTTCAGAGAACTGCTGATATACAAGAGTAGTGGAGAGACAGAGAGACTTATATTATTTGGCTCTTGCTAAATTATACCAAATTTCAAAACTCAAGAGGCTTGGCTAGGGATAATAAAATTTTTACTTTCTCAAATCTTGAATAGAGATAATAATTTGTTGAAAAGTATAAGATACAAGCCTTGTACCAAAACTCGGATATTTTTAGCCATTAAAATAAAATCTTTTCGAGATTTCTTCAGGCAAAGAAATAAATAAGAGGTAGCTCAAGGATCGCAGTTTGTATTAGGAAAAGAGGCTAGAATGCTTACCAAATCGGTTTCCCCCTTCAAGGCTCTTATAATCTCTTCTTCTTTTCCTTGTTTGGATGACATAATTTGAAGTTTGATTACTTTCGTTCTTACTGGTGGCTTCTTTATTATCAATACTAAATCTTTCATTATGAGGGTTCAAAATAAACTTTACTATGCTTGAAATTTATTGAGTCTAAACCCTCTCTCCTAAGTATTCATATACTAGGACCTTATAGCCCTCAAGGAGCTCACTGGAGTGATTAAAGTGTGAAAATAGACCCTTACTCCTCCATTTCTTCACAAGTTAAATTAAAATATTAATTGTAAGTGGATATAATTATTTGAATTAATAGTCAATCATTTATCCAATACAAGGGGTTTTGGGGTTTTGGGGTTTTGGGGTTTTGGGG